TTGGTCCAAATATCTCAGATGCCTGAATCTCCTCTATAATATTCCATCAATTGGTCAGATAGCCAATCTGAACACTTTCAGTGAGAGAGAACTTGAGGCATTTTATCCTGCCCCTGGGCAGTTCTGAGTACCAGGCAGGTTTTTGTTTTCTTTTGTTTTTTAAAACTCACATTTCTTACCTGTACTCTTAAATACTACTGCAAAAATGCTAATTTTGCAAATTAAATCTTTGGGGTAGTTATTTTAAAAGTTTGTCACAATATGCTACCCTGTAATGTCTACTTTATTGATGCTGTTTTTATAGTGTGGAGCCATATAGAATGAGTCTAATTCCTATTACACATGATGGATTTTCAAATTCTTTACAGTTGCTGTTATTTCCCCTACATCTTATCACCAGTGTAAACATTTTTATTTTTTGAATGACATAGTTTTAAGTTCTCCTTATCTTCATTGCTGTTCTGGTATTGGTAGGTTTGGTTTTTCCTGAAGCCTCTTTTATCTTGTAGATGGCCTTCTTGATGTGTCTTTGCATGGCTTTTTCTCTGCATTTGCATCCTGGTGTCTCTTTCTCTTATAAAGACACCAGTTGTGTTGGATCAGGACTCTACCCTTATGACCCCATGTAACCTTAATTACCTCCTTAAAGGGACTACTAGCATACTCAGAGATATTGCGGGTTTGGTTTTAGACCACTGCAATAAAGTAGTATCCCAGTAAAGCAAGTCCCACAAATTTTTCGGTTTCCCAGTGCATATAAAAGTTGTAGTTACACTGTACTGTAGTCTATTAAGTGTGCTATAGCATTATGTCTAAACAGTGTGCATACCTTAATTTAAAAATATATTATTACAAAGTGCTAACTCATCTGAGCCTTCAGTGAGTCATAATCTTTTTGTTGGTGGAGTGTCTTGCCTTAATGTTGATGGCTGCTGACTGATCAGGATGGTGGTTGCTGAATGTTGGATGGCTGTGTCAATTTCTTAAAACAGGACAACAATGAAGCTTGCCTTATCAATTGACTTCCCTTCTTGAAAGATTTCTCAGTAACATGCAGTGCTGTTTGATAGCATTTTACCCCTAGTTGAACTTTTTTCAAAATTGGGAGTCATTCTTCTCACCCTGCCACTGCTTTATCAACTAAATTTATGGACTGTTCTAAATCCTTTGTTGTCATTTAAACAATGTTCACAGCATCTTCACCAGCAGTAGAATCTGTCTCAGGAAACCACTTTCTTTGTTCATCCACTAGAAAAAACTCCTCATCTATTCAGGTTTTATCATGAGGTTGCAGCAATTTAGTTATATCTTCAGGCTCTATTACTGATTCTGGCTCTCTTGCCATTTCTAGTATATTGGCAGTTACTTCTTTACCTGAAGTCTTAAACCCCTCAAAGTCATGAGGGTTGGAATCAACTTCTTCCAGACTTCTGTTAATTTTGCTATTTTGACCTCCTCCCATGAATTGTGAATGCTTTTAATTACATGTAGAATGATGAATCCTTTCTAGAAGATTTTCAGTTTACTTTGCTCAGATCCATCAGAGGAATCACTGTGGCAGCTTTAATTTTATTTCTTGAATGATAAGACTTGAAAGTCAAAATTACTCCTTGATTCATAGGTTACAGATGGATCGTGTGTTAGCAGGCATGAAAACAGCATTAATCTCCTTGCTTGTCTCCATCAGAGTTCTTGGGCGACCAGGTGCATTGCCAGTAAGCGGTAATATTTTGAAAGAAATCTTTTTTCTGAGCAGTAGGTCTCAACAGAGACCTTAAAATATTCAGTAAACCATGCTGTTGGCTGGGCATGGTCGCTCACACCTGTAATCCAAGAGCTTTGGAAGGCCAAGGTAAGAGAATTGCTTGAGGCCAGGAGTTTGAGACCAGGCTGGGTAACATAGTGATACCTGGCCTCTACTAAAAAAATAAAAAATTAGCCAGGCATAGTGGCATGTGCCTGTAGTCCCAGCTACTTGGGAAGCTGAGGCAGGAGGATCAGTTGAGCCCAGTTGGAGGCTGCAGTGAGCTGTGTTCACGTCACTGCACTTCTGGGTAACAGAGCAAGAGTCTGTCTCATAAAACAAAATAAGACATGCTGTTTTTGAAAAATATCCTGAAAAACCATGCTGTTGTGGATGTGTTGCCATCCAGGCTTTATCCCATCTCTAGAGCACAAGCAGAGTAGATTTAGCATAATTCTTAAGGCCCTGGGAATTTTTTTGAGACAAGTCTCACTCTGTTGCCTAGGCTGGAGTGTAGTGGCATGATCTCAGCTCACTGCAACGTCTGTCTCCCGGGTTCAAGCGATTCTCTTGCCTCAGCCTCCTGAGTAGCTGGGATTACAGGTGTGTGCTACCACGCCCAGCTAATTTTTATAATTTTAGTAGAGATGGGGTTTCACTATGTTGCCCAGGCTGGTCTCGAACTCCGGGCCTCAAGCAGTCCACCTGCCTTGGCCTCCCAAAGTGCTAGGATTACAGGTGTGAGCCATCGCGCCCGGCCTGGCACTAGGATTTTTGGAATGGTTGATGAACATGGTTTCAACTTAAAGTCGCCAGCCGCATTAGTCCCTGGCAAGAGGGTCAGCCTATTGTTTGAAGCTTTGAAGCCAAGTATTGACTTCTGTCTAGCAATAAAAGTTCCAGATGGCATATCTTCCAATAGAAGGCTAGTTTGTCTACACTAAAAATCTGTTGTTTAGTATAGAGACCTTTGTCTATTATCTTAGCTAGGCCTGCTGGATAACTTGCTGTAGCTTATCCGTTGGCACTTGCCGCTTCACCTTGAGCTTTTATATTATGGAGACAGCTTCTTTTCTTCAAACCTCATGAGCCAAACTCTCCTAGCTTCATCCTTTTCTTCTGCAGCTTCCTCACCTCTCTGAGCCTTCATAGAATTGAAGAGAGTTAAGGCCTTGCTCTGGATTAGGCTTTGGCTTTAAGAAAATGTTGTGGTAGGTTTGAGCTTCTACACAGACCACTCAAACTTTCTCCATAAATTGCCAGGCACGGTGGCTCACACCTGTAATCCTAGCACTTTGGGAGTCTGGGGCGGACAGATCACTTGAGGTCAGGAGTTCGAGACCAGCCTGGTCAACATAGTGAAACCCTGTCTTTACTAAAAATACCAAAATTAGCTGGGCATGATGGCACGTGCCTGTAATTTCAGCTACTCAGGAGGCTAAGGTGAGAGAACTGCTTGGACCCAGGAGGCGGAGATTGCAGTGAGCTGAGATCATGCCATTACACTCCAGCCTGGGTGACAGAGTAAGACTTTATCTCAAAAAAACAAAACAAAAAAACAAAA